TAGATCGACCGGTAAATCGAGAGCTTCGCTTTCTGACTCAGCTCTCTCTTCACCACGACCTGATTCAGCTCGATCCAAATGAATTTGTAATCGGAATGAGAGAGGTGGTTTATGTCGATTGATAATCCGAAAAGTGTGCATGTAAACACTTAATCTGATCATCTTATTCTGATTGTGGAAAACTGACCTGACTGCCCATGTCTGCTGACTTTAATCCAGCGGTTTACAGCAGACAGAAGAACTTTACCTCCCGTTCTCAAGGAAGACACATAGCCTGCACCGCTTCGCAAAAAAAAAGTTCGCTCTTCACCTGCAGCTCAAACAGGGAGAGCAGTAACGTCTTTTTAAAACCTGTAACAGGTCCATTCTGAGCTCAGAAGCTGTTTGTTTATGTTCATCACAGAAGTAGAACTTTTTTCTGTGTTTTTTTAAGGGAAAGTTAGCAACTGCGCATGTCAGAGCTTCTATTCAGAATAAAAGCCTGGTGCATGCAAACACTCATCATGATCAGATTGTGCCCATGTAAACGATACATTTCGATTACGGTATTTAATCCGAATACATTTCAATCCAATCAAAGAATTGTGTGCATGTAAACATAGCTAGTGTGTGTGTGTGTGTGTGTGTGTAGGTGTGTGTGTGTGTTTGAGTGCCTGTTACCAAAATATATCTTGAACTATTGGGCAAAACTAATGAAACTTGCAGAAAGTAATCAAAGCATGTTATCTACTGTAAGTTAAGTTGAGTCAAGTTTAGGATATTTCAGTTAAGATGGCTGCTACAATCCATTCACCTTAAAAAACCACTGACCTAAAACTTGATGTGGTAGTACCTGAGACAGATCTTCAAGAAATATTCAGAGTGCTAACACATTGTGAAAGATCTTTGTCTAATATTTTGCAATGAACTATTCTGAGTCAACTGTTTGTTAGTAATATGTCTCGTGATCTGACATGATCTGCAGAACAGATTTGAATAAAACTTTCAGGAAATAGTCATTAGAAGATCCTTAACAACTTATTATTTTTAGAACCCCATCCAATTCAAGATGGCAACCACAACTAACGGACTTTACAAAAACAAAATGGGCTATAAATCAGAGAATTTTACAGACATCGTGAATAAATTAATAGTTAAGGTTTGAACAACACAACTAAACTCTGCAATTTCTCAACAAAAGATTATCTGAGTTCAGAACTCTGACATGAATAAAAGGCTGCAGGAAATATGCATTCCTTCAAGAAATGGTAGGTCTGATCCATATTAATTAACCACCTGCTCACTCAGTGAGACATGTACATCAGCGGTTCCCAAATTTAGAGCAAAGTGACATAGGCCTTGTGACCCCAAGCAGTACACAAACTTGCCTAATTATCCTAAACAACAGCCTTGATAATATTTCAATATATTTTTAATTGTTTAAATTATTTACAATAAGGGTTGTGAAAATATGCCATTTGCATTTTTTTTAAATTTTCCTATAGAGATCATCTGATGAGTCTCACTGGATGTTTCATGGGACACAATCGGGTCACACCACCAATTTTGGGAACCAATGGTAAGTTTCCACATTACGCAGGTGGTTAAAGAGCTAACAGTACAAGTGTTATTTAAGTCTGCTGTATTATTATTATTATTATTATTATTATTATTATT